ATATTGTTTATATTGTGGTAAATCAATTAAAGTACATAGTTCAAATGAAGACCTTTATGAGTCTTGAATGTACAAAAGCCTTTACTTCGGCACTATTGGGCTTAGCGATTTCCAAAATTATTAGGAAAATATTCCGCGCCTGTAGTTAGGTCGTGTCTGATCATCCTGATCTGTTCATGAACCGACGAATTCAAATTCATTGAATCGGTTAAAAGTCAAAGTCATGCTGAAGCGGCATTGGGTCACTTATCGGGCCCGTCTTCTCTCGCAGACCAATAGTGTTTGTCTATCCACTTACTGAAAAAGATGGTTGTACTCATACACTGTTTTTAGCATCCACAATCATTTCTAGTATTGTTCTATTGTGCATCTACATTATTATCTCCTCATTAAGCTTAATACTTTTTACCACATCGTAAAGCTTTGTTAAGGACTCTTACGCTTTTCCTCTGCCAGGAGTAAGAATTTCAGCCTGCCATCTCTAGACCTTCGCACCAAAAGAGGGCATGTTTCTTAGTTCTTTTTTTCTAGTAATATCTGCTTGTTTTTGCTGCTTCGAGTAAATGGTATACAGCTAAACTAGATATACACAGTCTGATGTGCCCAATCAGCAGTCCTAATATTCTAGTCCTGACGTCCTTGTTTTCGCCTCTCTCCTCCTTGAACCGAGAACTTATTCTTATCCGATTGTCTGATGGATTTGGTCACTTTATCGGTGTCTTTGTTGTCCTGTGTGCCTTGGCAACCAACAAGGGTAATGTTGTAGTCATCTTCATTGTTTGACAGGGCTCTGTTGAGGCCCCAAACGGCTCTGAATGAAGTTGTTGCCCTTAATGACGTCTGGCTGCCAGAGCAGATTCATTGCCCCAAATGCACAGGCAAATTTATCAACCTCATCGATTCCTCTCTGCCCAGTAAGCCCTGGTATTCAAACAAGGGTAATTTTGTTGTTGTCCCCAATATCTGACAGGGCGCGTTGATGCAGTCCCAACCGGCTCTGGACTTTACTAACGATGAGCCAGTTGCCTTTAGTGCTGCTTTTAGTTTCTTGGGCATAGAGTTCGATAGACCCGGTCCCGTGCTTTTCCCACAACTGCGAGTTCATTTATTAATGCCATGTTTTTTTTCTCTATGTTGAATTGGAGCTTGTTTGATTGGTTGAATATTTAATCTAGTGTTATGTTGTGTATCGTTCATCTAACTAAAACAAGACCTTACTAAGCCTCAGATCTTGAAAAGTCACAAAACTTCGATCCAAAATCTCGTATATAATTTTATTATTATTAAAATTCCGTGTATTTTGGATTGGACTCTGTTGTGGTTTTCATAAGGGCAAGGAAATTCACTGCACAAATGCTGTGTCCTACTTCCCCAATCTTTGCTGTATTTAGTTTACTTAATTGAACACTTTTCTAAGTCTTGGAAGTTCAAAAGTCACAAAGTGAATGAACCATATGTGGTTTAGCAATACCCAAAATGTCCTTTGCTAAATGAAATATTCCGCTAGGTGATGGACATGTAGTTCGTTCATCATCCTGATATGTATATTCTGTCTGTTCGTGAACCAACGAAAAATTGAATACAGTAAACGCAGAGAAACAATTTAAATTTACATACTTTTTCTGTTTTTGGACCGAATGAACCGAGGTCTTGGTGTTGGTCAGGGTCAGGACAGTCACTGCATGAATGCTGATGGGTCCTATTTCCCCAGTGTATGTGTGTATCGATTATGTAACTTAAGTCAAGATCTTTCTAAGACTTGGATGTTCAAAAACCACAAAACCTCGACACTGAGCTGATCAATACAATTTCTGTTGGTAAATGAAATATTAGATTCTGCTATATTCTGTTAGATGATAAACCAGTCTTTTCTGGTCATCCTGATCTGTTTGTTTTCGTCGTTTTAGATGTTTTTGATGTGAATGTTGAATTAAACACGTGTTGGTTTTGGTCAAGACCCCAAGTTTGTTGTGCTTTGTGTATTCAGCTGCTAACATGTATTCTATGTTGGTCTCGTTGTCCATCGCGAGTATATCAACGCATGTTTTTTTTTGTCAAACCGTCATTTTGTAAGAATGAGTGGGGAAAGGATAAAGTGTGGTTTCCCGCATGTGCGTCACGCGCAGAGCAGGGCGATCAAGTTACATAAAATGTTTTACTTTAGCACAGTTCATTTCAAAAATTTTTATGAAAGAAGAATGGTTGGTGTGGATAGTGATTCTTTCCAACATACTAAATTTACCCGAGACACTTTTATAATATAATAATATACACTTTTATAATATAATATTATATTAGTAAGAAAGCAGATGATTGTACAACGAGCCTTTTAACAAAATTGATAAATCCAGTGGTCCAACGTTTACCTTTTCCATCTGGAACCTGCACAAATACCAAAAGTTAAATTTTCATGGAGGACGCTCTTTTCTGGCCTTGGATACCGTTCAACTGTGCAGCCAGTGACATTTTATATCTAGACTTTCTCGTTTGATCCGAAGTGAAAGCCAGGTTCCACCCTCGCGGTCGATCGATCTCGGTAGCACCGACCCACACATTCACGTTCCCTTCCCTACTTCAACAACACGGCTTACCGTCCAATAAATTCCCCTGGAAAGCACATTTCCGACCGATGAAGATGCTACGATTTGGACCTACTCGTACCGAATACCAAGCTCGGATCACCGGATTAGTTGGGTGGTGCTTATCAGAAAATACATAAAAGTACTACCTCCTTTATGAAGTATTGACGGATGTCACAAGAAAAACTAGAAAAGGCGTGGGATGCACTTGACGATCTATTATTCCCGATGGAATTTAGGGACGTTTAATCTCTTATATTTAACCCTTTCACACGTGGTGAAAAGACTTCAACATATTTAAAACATACGCATTCATCGTACTCATATAGTCTAAGTTTAATGATATTGAGGGTATTCGATATTCCACTTATGCCCCTCCATAATTCACGCATATAAATACATTCATACAAAACACATTTTAAACCATGCCACCTATCACTCTATAAACATGTAAGAATTAACATTCTTTGGGGTATTGGATATTTCGCCATAAATACCCAAAACGCCCACGCTAATAAATATATTCACTCCGTAAAGGATAACCTCCCATGAAAGATCTATAAAATTGATCATATGCATCTGATTTGGGTATCAAACTGCTGGGTTTCTTAAGATCTTGAGATTAGAGTATGAGCCGTGTGACAGCCTGGTGTGGCCTATTCGCAATTAAGTCATCATTGTTATGACTTAATTGTTTGTTGTTCTAACACTTTTCTCCACGGCCAACTGTTTAACCGGAAATTTTATTTCTCTCGATTTGTCGGCCATTGAGGTTCAGCGGTTCTGCCAATCCTACCTGCCATAAGCGTTTGGGAATTTCACAAGACACTGAAGATGGGGAAAAGCCGAAACGTGAATGACGGACAAAAACGACCAAAGTACAGTTATATTTGTGGCCAGGGCCTTTTTACACGCTCACAGAATTAAGTCAATGTCGGAATTAAAGGAGCATAACACACTGAAGATGGCGAGAAGCAAAAAACCGCAGAAGGCGAAAACTATGTCCTAAAAGACTAAACTACAGTTATATTGAATTGGAAGTTTGGAGTTGGACTTAAAAGAGCAAAACACCCTGAGGTGACGGGAAGTCGAAACGCACAAGACTGGCACAAACGGCCCTAAATGACTAAACTACAGTACAACCCCGGAATGATGTTTTAAAAAACACTGAGGATGTCGAGTACAAGAAACATATCTGACAGATCACCAGCGAGTTTAGGCAGACCGAAGTGATCGCTAACGGCCAAATTTCATGTAATTTTTGGTCTTTTCATCTTACAAGGGTATCAGAGTCACTTGGAACATTTGGACATACTAATATCCAACGTTTCCAGTCCTTTCCATATAAAGTCGTTAGAACAATGAGTGTATAATATCTTAAATAGCCACAACAGACGTAAAACGTACATTTATCCATAAATTAATTTCTTAAAAATTAATCAAATTTGAGGTTATGCTTTCCCACCACCCCAATAATCTTGGCCAAGCCTTGTCCAACAGATCCCATCCCTACAATCTTATAACCCTTTCTGAGGACTGTTAAACTTATCAACTGAGGATGTGAACAGCAATGGAAGAAGAAAATTATTGACTCCCCTCAATGAATAGTTACATATCCTCTAATTACATGTTGTAATTTTAAATTCCACATAATAATCAAATATTCATGAAAAAAAAAATATTTAAGAAAATTTCTCCGACATAACCGTTTTCTTTGGGCGACTAATTCGAGTTTGGATCTATAAAGCCGATTAATAACAACTGACTAAATCATATCATAGCCCTGTCTGATTATCTTTTTTAACAATTTGACAGCAATATAATAATGATTATTATTATTTATTTTTTAAATTTAAGATAAACTGATAATGAGAAGATGACGAATTGCTTACTACCAGTTTATCAGCCGTTGAATTCATGGAAAAACATTTATAATGGTTATTAATTTAAAAAATAATTGAAAAACACATTTATATAAGTTATTAATTAAATAAATAATCGAAAAAACACATTTCTATTGTTTATCGAGTTTATGTAACCATAATAAAAACATACGCCGTGCTTAAAAACTTTCCAACCGTCGACATAACTCTGTGCTTACAAGAAAAATCAGATTTATGCCGAGCATTTTTTTTTACCCCGCAGTTTTCACTCAGCTTGTCCCCAACTTGAAAATAAAATTTTACAAGCTCTGATGAAACTGTAAAAAAATACAACGCATTTAAAATGTGTTTTTCTTTTAAAATAATTAATAAAAACAAAATCAATAAAAAATCAAAAACGTCATCATCAAACATCTTTGCTTTCTACACGTAAAACATTATAAATTCACAAAACACACATACCTAAACCCTTACGTCACATTTAATACATTGAAATTAAAATGCAAAAATAATTGAAAAAACTTAAAATTTAATTTACCTGATTCTGAGCATTTTGTTCGGCCATCGCTTTTTCTTTCGCTTGCCTTTTACATTTGTACCTATGGTTTTGGAACCATATTTTCACCTGAAACACCGCAAAAGTTAGTACAATTCTTGAAACTAATGCTGTAGTCATATACATTTTTAACCGTGACATTACAAGTTAAATGAGGCCCACCCTTGTTGGCATTTGGCACCCCTCACAGCGTGCTTACTCAATCGATTAATTCCAGCACATAATTGGAATAGAACGCCCTCACGCGGTTTGTATATACAAAAGCATTAAAAAAATGTTTCACTGTTTTAAGCTGTGGTTTTGCCCAGGAAAGGGCCGGAAACTGTAGGAAACCCTACATTTTTTAAAAACATTTTTCCCTCTTTTACCCCCAAAGCCTCACTCTCACTCTCTCTCGCTCTCACTCTCACTCTCTGTCTCTCTCGCACGGTCGTTGAAGTTTGAGGGTTGGATCCCCGGTGTTGGGGAGGTCGGATTAATCTTCACAATACCTAAACCAGAAGGACTGATTGCAGAGCCCACTTGAACTCCTTTCATTCCTCACCTCTCCTCCCCCGACGGCACGTTCCCCTCCTTCATGTTTGGAACATGTTAAAAATTCTTACTTCACAAAGAGAGAAAAAAACCTCGGGCCATCTTGAAATTGGACGAACAATCATCTCGCGTCTTAACGAGCACTGTTCAAATTGGGAGATTCTTCAGTCTGTAGAGGGAAATACCGATGAAATGACAGTGTTTCAATATTAGCAAGATCACATCAAAAGTAATAAGCAATTATTTTTTAATGAATTTATCGAATCACGGATTAGATCGAGAATGCTAGGAAAAAAAGAGGGGAAAATACAGAGTTATACATAGAAAAATAGAATAGGAGATGAAAGAGAAAGGACAAAGAGAGAGAGAGAGAGAGAGAGAGAGAGAGAGAGAGAGAGAGAGAGCAACAGAAGAAGAGAGAGAGCAAAAGAGAAAGAGTGAGAGGGAAAGCAACAGAAGAAGAGCGAGAGCAAAAGAGAAAGAGAGAGCAAAAGAGAAAGAGTGAGAGGGAGAAGAGCGGGAGGAGAGAGGGAGAGAGAGAGAGTGGGGGAGAGAGAGAGAGAGGAGAGGAGGGGAGAGAGAGAGGGAGAGAGAAGAGAGAGAGAGACACAAATAGACAGACAGACACAGACAGACAGACATAGAGAGACAGAGAGAAGACTCGAGCCGACAGAATAAGAAGAAAGGCGTTTTTCTTCAAAAGGCCAAAAGACTTTTTCAAGTTCAATCGAGAAGTGATTCAGAACCCTCACAACACCAACTGAATGCTTCTATCAAGTGACCTGTCTAATGAATAAACTTATAAACCAAATACAAACAATAACCAATATAAACAAAAAAACATGACTAAGTTGAGTTAGGGGATTGCAGGCACAATTTAAATATGTACTATTTGAACCAGGCCCATGAAGAATACTAATATGGGAGTACCTCAAGGAAGAATACTAGCCCACTAGTTGTTTCTGCTTATGTTAACAACCCGGCTTTCTTAATGCCCCAGACTGTTTCGTAACTGACTACGTTCACAAGTCCAGGTCATTCTCTCCACTCCTCATAAACAGGCAGTTCATCAAGTTTAAATAAAATACTGCCTGTGTCCATCGAGATAAGTTTAAAACTCTTTTCCCATGCTTATCTTATCTTATCCCCTTATCCCTAGCACTATTCCTATAGCTTTTATGCGAAACTGTTAACTGTTTTTGCTCGTAAATCAAGTTTTTGATTTGATGTATCAGAGCCGAAGTTACATCATGAGACAATGGAACAATAATTTACCTGCGTGATTTTATAACCGGTGCACTAATGTATAATGTATAATGACCCTAGGTGCTTGTAAATTGAGGTTGTTGAAATATTGGCTGAGATCTCTCAAGTGGCATAACGGGCGAGTGGACGTCGTGCAAACAAATTATGCAAAGCGCGAGCGGGGGGGACGAGATTACTGATGGCTAAGCCGGGCAAAGCCCAAAGATCAACACGGCTTTTCTGCTTCGGGCACGCCTTTCATTTACGAATTGTAAATAGTGGGAATACCATGTTCACAATTCCCATATATAATTGTATTGGATATTTCCAGAAAAACAATTGTGAGAGAAAACCTTACGAAATTACGTCTTGGTCCGCCTAAACTCGCTATATTCAAGGGTCTTGTAATGACACTACACTTTGCATGTTTGTAATATTTTTTTGCAATTTTTACTTTCCGCGTGGTATTTTTCTTTCATTGTATTGCTTTGAATGCTACCTGCTTCTGAAAGTTTCAAACGTCTCGATCCTTCCAACATGTAATCCTGTTTAAATAATGACCGATGCTTCAGAGTGAGGTGTTGCATATATTACACATTTCACAAGGTAGCACCCTAATCCGATTAAAGTGGCCTCCAACATCCGAAAACACCAAACTAACTAATACTATAGCAAAAATTGAAAATGCTGAATGAGGAAAATAGTACTCAGTGTCAACAAGGAGGTACAAACTTCCACTTACATCAGATATTTAGTACTCTAAATGACTGACGAGGAAAATCCACAAAAGACGTATGAAATTTGGAACTAGGAAGGCTTTTAAGACCACCAAACCTAACTTTATGTGAGATTCCGTTTAGCCATACAATATTCAGCACATCCCATCCCACCAATCAAATGTCCTTAGAAAACTTGAAAGCTACTAACTACATCGTCAACTCCACTGTCCATAACGACCTCAAAGTTCGTTTATCACCGAACGGATGCGTTCCTGCTTCTAAAAGTTCCTGACCTCGATCTTTCCTAACCTGGAGTCCTATTTAAGTGACCGGTGCACCGATAAAAGACGACGTATCACAAGCGGGGGATGATACCCTATCCAAGCAACCTCTACCACCCAAGAAAATCTTTAGCTTATCAAAGAATGGTGCAAAAATGGAGTAAAAGACTGAATGAGAAAAACATTCTTACCCTTTATTGAACAACAACAACAATGAGCTACAGACTTCCACTTAAGTCAGATACTTAGGTCTAGACTGACACGAATCTCCAACCAGGCTTAAGAGTAGGGTTCCGCCAAGCCTTACAAGATCCAGACAACCAATCATTCCAGTCAAGTCTTCAGTTAGATCGTCAAAGATCCTTAATGCACATTCCTTTGTCAACGAACTGATTCGACTAACCTTCCACACCATTTCAACCTGTACAAGCCTACTGCCCTCTCTACGCTTAAACATCGATGACCTCGAGACCTCCCCGCCCCTTAATACTTCATATTGAATACCAGTGTTGGATTGTTTATTAGCAGTTGTCGAAAGAGAAAACCATATAACGCACATATTTGTAATCTCTATTAATATGTACAGGCTAGGGAAAGAAAACGTGGAAAGAAAATGTTCCTGCAAAGTTTATCCAATCAATAACTTGGTAGTATCAACTGCTGTAGAAAGCACCAGGCGCTATAGCAAGTGTTACTATAGTACCTCCCGTAAATGATTTTATGATGATTTAAATTCTCCCTTAAATGAAGATGAAGGTAATTAATGACGGTATTTAACGAGAAAGTGTTGGACAGAGTGAACAGGTCGCAAATAGACTAAAACTGAATGGCATGGTAAGTGCCCACTCATCCGAAAATCCTTTAGATACAGAAGGGCCTCGACAGGGGGTTAATTCTGTCCGCCGACCTACGTTATTTAAATATATTCTGCTTCCAGATTTACCATTTGTTTTTATGTTTTAAATTGTATCTTACGTCTGATGAACCTGTAGTTTGGTTTATTCTCGCTGTTTTGAACTATCAGAAGTCTTTCGACTACCATCTTTTTTACCATTTTTTTCAGACTCGCACATACGTAAATCAATTTTGTCAATGATGCTAAAACAACAATATGAGCATTGTCGGTGCGGCACGTTTTGTTTAAACTTAATTCAAAACTAAAAAACATGCAATCCATTCAATCAAAGTTCTTTTGTTTTTTTTTGACCCCCCTCTATGAAACACAAAATTAAGCTCTCAGCTAACGCCCATTATTTTTAAAACTTTACTTCTTCCTCATCTAATTTATGAATATCTCAAATTCAAAGAATAATCACCTGTTTTACAATATGCAAATGTCCACGAAATTAGGGAATTAGTAATTATCTGGAAGCTGTATACATACAATATGGTATGTGGTATTACACAGGGGGCCAGGATCTTTTCCCGATTTAAAACCGTTCGAAATAAATCTATATAACTTCTGCAAGTCGATTTTGTTTTTTCAAATTGATTCATGGGAGGATTCTTCATAACTGTAGAAGCAATAAAGTATTCTACCAACTACTTAATTTCTGTGTCACGAAAATCGTAGATATTCTATCCCCCCCCCAAGGATGAACTATGACTCGAGCCGAATGTCGTCATTTATATTTGATTTTATGTTTAATTTACTAGAGGGCAACATCTTTACCCAAGTGTCGTTCCGAGGTTCTATTTCAGCTCTGACAACATTTATTCAATTATGCAAATATTATTCTATTGTTCTTCGTATAAAACGATTTTATTTCATGAAACTATCAGAAATCAAATCGTGCGTTCGGTGTTGAGAGGTGAAGGAAAATGAAAACCTTAATTATTCTCTTAGGAATAAGTGCCACCGCCTCGTCATTTGGAACTATACCTTGGCTAACCAAACGTCAAGAAAATCCAATATTTGGTAATCGTGTGAAAACTGTGTTGGCTTAAAAGAGTAATTATATCATTTATCTATACTCCTAGATCTCCAGCTGACTTCCGACGACACCGTCAACCGTGATTTAGCCCATTTTTTATCGGAAACTGAGAATTACGCCGTCTTGTCCGCCAAAGAATCATTCGCCGTTCTTAAAAAGAAGGTCATCGAGGACGCCAGTAAGTTTGCCAACACGATGGGAAAGCTTTTACAATACGGCAAAGGTGTTGCGGAAAATGCCAACAACAAATTACAGGAAATAACCGAATATACTTGCAACAACACACATTGTTACTTGTGCGTTTTCGACAAAGCCGAACAAAAGCACCCCGTTAAAGGTCAGTTCGAAAGTTTTTTACTATTTCTATTTCATTATCTTTAACCGGCTCTTTCGCAAAACGTCAATTCGAGGTTGGACAAGATATTTTAAAAAATAATCCCCCTCCCCGTGTAAGTACAAACTATCGTGTTGCTTTTTCTTCTGCCGTATAAAATCAACCTTTATTTCATTATCAACCCTGTCAACCCAACGTTGTATAATTGCAGTATAAAGTAAATTTATATTGTGCAAGCTTGCTTAAAAACAATAACATATACATTTGAAGTAAAGACATTATGACTAAAATGAAAAACAGTGAGATTTCTCTATGTTATGGAGGTTCATCCGAGTCAAAGAATGACAGATATAACGTACAGAACTAACAGCGGTCAAACAAGGTTGCGTACTGAGCCCGCTACTGTTTGCGGACGATTTGCCATATTAAAATTCTGGAATTTAGGAGTAAATTTAGACCAGTTTAAGATTGTTATGTTTAGGGGGGAGGGTAAACGTGCTAAGGAACGATGGTTTTTTTAATATCAGTCAAATTGATTTTTCTAATATTATTGTTTTCTCTACAACACATTTAATAATTTGTTGGTAGCGATCAATAACTGATCGAGCACCTGGAGACTACGGGACGGTGATGGGGGGGGGGGAGCCGGCCATTGCTGGTACTCTCAGTGGTTTGGATTGTTGGTTAAGGTTTAGAGTTGCGTTAGGAGGTTACGACCTGTCTTTTTACGCGGCGTGGATGATTGTTGAAATGGGTCGTGGATGAGAGAGCTTGAGCTAGAGTATTTTGGAAAGAGAGCTTGGATTGGAAATTGTGGAATCGAGATTGGATCATGTAGTGGGATATGTAGGTCTCTGAGGTTTGGTTAGTGACATAGAAGGTACCGTTGAGTTTGGGACGGAGGGTTTTAGATTGAAAGGATTGGATTCACAGCTCTACTCCGTAAGTTTAAATCGGTCTAATTAGTGTTTCGTATACTGTTAGTGCGTAGTGAATACTCATTGTGGATTTGGGTCCAGGACTGAGTTGTCCGTATCTTCAGTTCAGTTCTTGTATGTTTTGTTTTATGTGTATATTCATATACTTGTGCTGTCCATTACAACCCAGGGTAGCGGATTTGGTTGGATGGAGGGATTACCATACTGTATATGTGCATGGTGGGCAGGACTTCTTTTACTGTCACGTGCCAGCTCTTTTGTTCATTTAGCTTGATGCGCCACCCAGTCGGTAATAAGGTCTAGGTGGTCTTGACTTGCTTATGCTGAAAGGAGAGAGTCAGAATGTGAAGAGAGGATTACTTTGTAGTCTATATATGAATGTTAGGGTGTATAGGTATGACAGCAATGTACACTGTGTAGAGGATTGGTCCTAGGATACTCCCTTAGGGAAAGTCTTGATAGGCTTGCTGTCTGAAAATTCAGAGCCAAACCTTGAACTTACAATTTCAATTAGAGTACAAGTATCTCCGAATTTCCTCGACCCCACACCTGTCTTCAAGCCACCAAATCAATATAAAGGTACCCACAACGAAATTGGCTCAAAACAGTGGCAAGGTTTTCTCAAAATATGATCCCCCTTCCCGCGAAATTGAAACTGTTTAACGCGGTATTCTGTTCGACTCTTTGTTACGCCTCACAAGTTTGGGGCTATAAAAGATATGAGCAACTGGAAAACACTCTGGGTAAAACAATTCCTGACTAAATTTGTACCCAGAGACCAAAGTAGACTAGTTGTATTTGTTTATATTGCAACTCCATATCAACTATATTTTAAAATCATTATATTTATTGGTCGATTGACCAAATTACTTCTTTCAATTAATTATTCTTTGTATGTAAGGTCTCGGTTGAAGAATATCAAGGTTCAAGAATATCACAATTCATGAAGTATTTGAACAAGGTGTGTCAACAAGTGTCATTTTCTGCCAGCAGCGAGCTTAAGTTCAGTGGCCTTTTCACTTGTCCCAGGGCGTCCAATTCTTCCAGAAATTGTTCGCGCTGTGCCTCATATTCGATACATTGTAGTAGTATATCCATGGTCAAGGCTCTCTTCTACATCGCACGTTGCGCAGTTTGGCGATGTTCTACAGTTAATTCTGTATAAATATGTACCGCAGATGCCATGGCCAGTTCGGAGTCGTGTAATTGTTGAGAAGAAAGCTTTTCCTCTCTCTATTTCTTGAAACCACGGCTTCTTTTGTAATGTTGGGAATAATGAACGGTAGAACTTCCCTGCTGTGCCCGTATCGTACCAAATTTGCCACTTTCTGCTCACGTCTCTTTTGATATTGTTTGTCACCTCTCCGACGGTTAGATGCGGGTGGGAGAACCTTTAATGGTTGCCTCCTTGGCTAACTGGTCTTTCATTATGTTCTATACCTGCAAGCCCTTTTATCCAGCATATTACAATGTTTTTGCCTTGATTCCTTAATTTGAAGGTTAACCTGACAATTTCGATTAAAATATATTCATACTAATTTATTTGGGGATCGTGAGATGCGGTCTGGTGTGACGTAGGTTTCAGAGAAACATTTTCTTTATCGTGCCAACGTTTCGATCTTTATTGAGATCATCTTCAGGGCCTGGGATTTACAAACATTGTTTACATTTAACAAATACATTTAGGATGTGGAAAAATGAATTTATACACTCCTCACATTCTTATCACTATTTAACTCTAACTTAAGAAGCAAACTTCTCTGGTTGAGTTACGTTGGCTCTTCAAGATCAGGGGTGAATTATAAATTCATTTTAAAGATGCACCCTTCACAACCCGGGAAAATGAATAATGACTTCCCGGTGTCGGAGAGTACAAGGCTCATTTTTACCCGCATGTACCATTTTATCAGAGATTTATATTGTTTACATTTGAATTACCAAGAGGCATTAAGAAGAACTTTTTTTTATCCATAAAAAGCAGCATCAAGTTCAACTATTGTTTGACTACTCAACCTCCGGCAGACGGAACTTCTTCATACTGTACACTACATGTACTTATAAATGTGACTTGTGGATTATTTTATATAAATAATAAAGTAATATTATTATTATAACGTACAGAGCAAACATTGAAGTCTGACCGACGAACCCAACTAGCTTGAAAACAAAAATAGTTATGATATTTTCTCTTTTATGTTTTTTAAAGCCAACCTCCTCACATTCCTATCACTATTTAACTCTAACTTAATTATTGGAAAATGTGACAGTTTGCTTCCGTTGGACTATCCTTGAGCACAATAGCGTGAGGCAGTACCATCTCTGCGTAAATGATAGGTGTGCCCTTATCAACTACTTTTTCTCAGGTTGGTCCTTAAGAGTTTTCCCGTTTTGATATTTGCACTCTAAAAAATGATTTTGTTACAGCGCGAGACGCCTTGTGTGCCATTTATCCTCCCGCCCCGGCTTTATGGGCGTGCTTACGAATCAAAGAGATGAACCTGAAAAAGGAGACGTTTAATTTATGCTTCTACCTCGAGTTGAACGTGTTGAAGTGGCCTGTTTTTACCAGCCGCTCTTACTGTGTAAAGCTCAGAGAGGATACTAGTATGCCTTACATCGCCAGATGGAACGAAGACGAGTTGATTAAATTTTTTAGTTTCAGTTAATTCTCTTCCTTAGGCACCCTCAACTCCTGTTGCCCAATCGTACCAAATAATTCAAATTCTAAATTTTATTAATTAATCACTTGTAAATATGCCTTTATACACTGTCTGTATTAGTAAAAAACAAATGATAAGAAAAAGTATATAGCTTTTTCCGTCAAATCAACCCTTTTTAATTTCGAATTTACCCTTCCTTTAAAACATCAAAAAATGTAGGAGATGTTATGAAATGTAAGCAATTTTAGCCAAATAACTGCATTTTGAAAAATAAATAAATATGAAATAATTGGTCCCATAGAAGTCTTTTAATTACAATTCATTTAGATATATTTTTATAGTTTAGTTCGTTAAGAAATGTTTTCAATGGTAGAAGTAGACCACTTTTTCACACATGAACACTCTGGATGAAGGTATGATCTTGGTTACTGCCAAGCTTTCAACCTATTTTAACGTCATCATCAGGGCAAAAAATCTTAAGTTTACAGATGATATATTTAAGTTAGGTGGCCTCAATTTTTTTTAAGACCGACTTAGTCCGAACATTGCCAAGGACTGTAAAGTATTTCAATACTGTTACAGTCCTTGGGAATTTCATTTGCTCCATTTGTTATTATCGAACCTTTTCCGTAAAATTAACCCTTTTTCCGACTGACAATATTTAAGCAGTAATCCTTAAATCCCGGTTCAGGTTCACCCCAGGAATTCAACGAACTTGATTAGTAGGCAATAGCTTTTTTTCCGTCAAATTTACCCTTGTTAATTTCAAATCATACTTTTACGCATCAAATGAGCCATTCTTAATTTCAAATTCACCTTTTTGTTTGCATTAAATTAAGCCTTTTAAATTTCAAATTCAACGTTTTTGGAACTTGAACTTTCTTTTTTTTTAATTTCAAGTTCAACCTTTTATCAAACATCACATGAACCCTTTTTAAATTCAAATTCGACGTTTGTCGCGTCAAATTATGCCTTTTTAATTTCAAATTCAACCTTTTTCGCATCAAATTAACCCTTTTTGGTTTCAAGTTCGACCTTTGCGCGTCAAATTATGCCTTTTTAATTTCAAGTTCAACCTTTTTTTTAAAACAACAAATTAACTTTTTTAAATTCAAATTCGACCTTTGTCGCGTCAAATTATGCCTTTTTAATTTCAAGTTCAACCTTTTTTCGCATCAAATTAACCCTTTTTAATTTCAAATTCAACCTTTTTCACATCAAATTAATTCTGTTTATTTTCAAATTACCTTTTTAATTTCAATTTCGACCTTTGTGCGCCAAATTAAGCCTTTTTAATTTCAAATTCACCCTTTTTCGCATCACATTAACCCTTTTTAATTTCAAATTCAACCTTTTTTGGATCAAATTAAACTTTTCTTACTTTCAAATTCATCTTTTTCTGCATCAAATTCACACTTTTTAATTTCAAATTAACCCTTTCTTTAAAACATCAAAAGTCTTATGAGATGGAAATAAATGTAAGCAGATAAAGTAAAATATTTGTTGTATTTGACAAAAAAAAATTGACTCTTAGATGATAATCACAATTATATGTGAACATTTTGAAAACAAAATATAAAAACGAACGATTCTTCGATCGGCGTCAGATTTTTAAAATATAAAATAATTCTATTTCTTTATAATTAGACATAAGAAAGCTCAACATTAGAACAGAAAAAAATTGTTTAAATGCTATTGGGTTGTCCGGAAAATAATGCAGGATTTTGGTATTAAACAAAAAAAAAGAAACTAGTTACTTTAAAGCAATGTTCTTTAATCAAAATAATTTCCCATACTCTCAATACATTTCTCCCAACGTGTTGGTAACTTATTAATTCCGTCTGAGTAGAATTCAGAATTTTTAGAATTGATAAAGTCAATAAATGCATTTTCCAGTTCCGTTTGATTTTTGAATATTATGTGTTGTAAGTAGTGGTCCAGGTGTCTAAAAAAATGGTAGTCAGTAGGCGAGAGGTCCGGAGAGTAGGGTGGGTGAGGCAAAGTTTCATAGCCAAGCTCCAATAATTTTTGTGACGTTACACGTGACACATGTGGTCGAGCGTTGTCATGCAACAAAATGGGCCCTTTCCGATTGACCAAAGAGGGCTTCATTACTGCCAATTTCTGATGCATGGTATTAATTTGGTTACAGTATGATTCAGCATTGATGGTTTCGCCAGGATTTAAGAAGCTGTAGTGTATTAAACCAAATGAAGCCCACCATACCGTAACCATTACCTTTTTTTGATGAGTTGGGGGCTTTGGAGCTTCTCCTTTGTCGAGCCACTGTCCAGAACGTCTAGTGTTATCGTAGAGAATCCACTTTTCGTCACATGTAACAATTCTGGCCAGAAATGGGTCATTTTTGTTTCGACAAAGAAGTGATGCACAAACATCAAAGCGCTGATTTTTTTGGCGATCGTTTAATGAGTGTGGAACCCAATTTTCGAGTTTTTTCACTTTTCCAATCGCCTTGAGGTGGTCAGCGACGGTCGTTTTACTGACTTTGAGTTGCTCTGCACCCACCACTGATCGCAGAACATCATCATTAAGAGAGGAAGGCCTTCCACGACCTTCTTCATCTTCAAGGCTGAAATCTCCCTCCCGAAATTTTTTAAACCACCTTTGCACAGTGCACTCATTAACACAACCCTCGCCCCAGACTTGGTTAATGTTTCTAGCCGTTTGGGCTCCGCTTCGGCCGAGTTTAAACTCGTAAAAGAAAATCGTACGAAATTCTCGCTTTGACATTATAAGGATGACTGAATTATTTCCAAGTAGCGGAATGCTACAGAGGTAAACAAACAATATCATTTGGAAGAGGATTAATAAGTGTTGACATTCATACAAATGAGTAATCCTGTAAACGTAAACAGAATATTTTATATAGATTTTTTTTAATGAAAACTTAAAATCCTGCATTATTTTCCGGACAACCCAATATAATATATGAGTATTGCGAGATATGGAGCCTAGCAAGTTAAAAGAACATGAAATACGTGAAATACATAAAAAACATATAGGGCTGAAATGTGACGCCTCACTTTTTAACATAACTGACATTTAGCAAAACTATTATTTCATTATTGCAGAGCCTCCTAGAAATATATTAGGTGGATTTTGAAGCGTTCTTAGTCAAGCCAGTTTTGTGAAACCAATGAATTATTTCCGAGAATGAATTCTGTAAAAAAAGCTAGGCCCTGAGCTCGAAATTTCACCGATAAACCAATAGATCGTCTCCATAAAGAAGAAAATTAACAAAAGATATGACTTCTATCGTTCTATGTTATATGGTAGAAACTCCCAAAAGAACAAATAGATCTAACTAACCCGACCATCCGACAGTCGAATAACGAAATACCATTTTCCAATCTACCTCAAAGTTCTAAAATTCTCCAGAAACTTTCTATTTCAAGGTTTTATATTATATCCATAATGAGCCGTTTAGAATAACTTACTTTTTGACTACTAAAGTTGTTCAGATACGTTTAACCAATAGTAGGGACAAAAAATTAAAAAAAAACTTGTGAAAACCTTCTAAATTTATGAACGTAGGCACGTATAATAGATAAAGAAAACCAACGTCGATTCATTTATTATGGAAGAAAGGTGACACTCATTTACGAAAGGCAAACAACGATAGCAGGCAAACTCTGGTTGAAATGTGATCAAACCGCATCAATTCTCTCACTCTCTCTCACACCTCCTTGTTTTGTTTATTATATGATTATTGGTTTGGATTTTTCAACCATCACGTCCCGTAAATCAAACGTAACTTATATGTATTTTATTGAGCGACTTTGGATGTCTCAATTTAAAAAAAAATTGTTCTACCAAAAAGAAGGTATATTTTTATTCAATGAACATTTTTGTATTATTTGATAAGGAAGATCCAGAGAGACACAAACTAACATCATAATTTTAACAAGACCGAGGGTGCTTTCATGTGTCTTTTCCATCCTAAAAGAGCATGGTATTTGATTAATTCACGCACTAGGGATGAAACTTGCTCCAGGAAATGTCTCCATTTTAAAGAGGAAATATTTTATTGTGTATTGGTTTTTCATTTAAAAATCTTTTATATATTACACTACACATTTACTGATTGATGCTTTAGGGCTGTTACAATCTGTAATAATTTTTTTTTCTTGATAAGTGCCCTGCTTTTGTAATTTTTTTTTATAGTAATAAAATGCTAATCAATATCTGTTGTTTTTCATTTATTTTTACTCTGAATAAACTATGATAATAATCATTTATGACAAATTTGCTGGTAAAACGCTACGGTCTTTATGAGAATAGAGGCCGAAAAAGCTAAGCACCCCAAAAAAACGATGTAATAAAATAAAACCTGCTTCAATTAGACATTAATATTAGGAGGCGTTTGTATGAGTTTAACATTGCACATATGAAGTCCCGGTTAGAGCAGCGGCGTATTTAGCCGAAGGTCGTGGGTTCGAATCCCGCTCGTGCACTTTTTCATTTCAATCAAAACCTTACATAAAAAGATTAATTAATTGAAAGAAGTCATTTGGTCAATAGACCACTACATACAATGGATTTAATTGTACATATGATATATTTTTTAACCATCAACTTTTATTTTTCAAATACAACCCTTTGTTTTTTTATGCATATTCTTAATGTACGTAGTTTTTTATTTTTTAATAAAAAATGGATTTTATTTCATCGAAATCGATCAAAGATTTTCAGAAATAATTTTTTTTATTCAAAGCCTCAGTAGAAAGACGTTTCGTAGGATTTTGAAACGCCATTAGACAGACCATTTTTATGATGCCAGCGAACCATTTCCGAGAGAGAATTACGTCCTGAAAGCTCGATAGTTCACCGAAACTTAAAGATCATATGCAGAAAGAAGAAAATTGATACAAGAAATGGAAGAATCAACATCGTTAATTAATGAAAGAAAGCAAAATAGAGGTCTTACATAAGAACCCCGTAAGAACAAGCGTGAAATTTAAAAAAATTTAAGCCCATCATTAAGATAACTTTGATTGTTTTATCATTAATGAACAATTTATGGTTAAACAAAGCCTACCAGACGAACAAGTAGGACTTGCAACACCGACCGTCCGATACTTGAAGAAATAAATAATAATAATATACCCCGAGGATATCGAATCGCTTGGGTAGTGTGAATGCTAACCAGACTATTTATTATTTTTTTATTTTGTTTCTATTTATTTGTGTTTGTTATTTTATCCACAATTGACGATGCCCTGAGTACAGAGAAGCTAGAATTAGGATAAAGAAAAGAAAGAGTTGGTTACCGTTATACCTACAACATCAAATCTTGGCAGGAGTGATAAGATAAGAAATTAGTATGCTTAAAACGCGAGAAAGAAAGAAAAAGCTAAGAACGAGACGTTGGCGATGACCAATTTACTTTGTCAGCCCTAAAAAAATTAATTAATTAATATTTATTTTTATACTTTATAAATAGGCCTTTAATTATTATGTTTCGTATGATGTTATTCAACATTTTCGTTTACGAGGGTATTTCAACTACGAGAGTACATGAACCCTCGGGGTGCCGATGTTTTTGAAAAAAAGGCCATTCGTAAGTTTGTGGGATTCGAATGCAGGGCCGCTGGATTCGAACCCGGGACCTTTACCTAACAGTGACGAGCGCCGTGTCAACGTCCCAAACCGTTGCGGCCACCGACGCCCGACTGCTATTATTAGCGTATATAAACTTTCTTCTATTGAATTCGAGCTCTGCTGCTCCTGCATAAGACTCACTGAAGATGGTCGAAAAGTGTTGGAGTATTACACTACTGTTTTTCAA